AACACATGGACACAGGGAGGGGAGCATCACACACTGGGGTCTGTTGGGGGGGAATAGGGGAAGACAGCAAGGGGTAGGGAGGTTGGAGAGGGATAACATGGGGAGAAATGGCAGATATAGGTAACAGGAGGATGGAGGCAGCAAACCACATTGCCACATAGTACCTATGCAACAATCCTGCATGTTCTGCACATGTGTACCCCAGAACCTAAAGTGCAATAAAATATATATATATTTAAAAAAAAAGATTGAATTCATTTCCCAAGTAGTGAACATAGAACCCAACAGATAATTTTTCAGCCCTTGCCCGGCTCCCTCTTTCCTACTCTAGTAGTCCCCAGTATATTCTGTTCCCATCTTTATGTCTGTGTGTACCAAATGTCTAGCTCCAACTTATAAGTGAGAACTTGTGGTATTTGGTTTTCTGTTTCTGTTAGTTTGCTTAAGATAATGGTGTCCGGCTACATCCATGTTGCTACGAAGGGCCTGCTTTTGTTCTTTTTTATGGCTGCATGGTATTCTATGGTGTATATGTAGCACATCACATTTTCTCTCTCCAATCCATTGCCAATGGGCACCTAGATTGATTCCACATTTTTGCTGTTGTGAATAGCACTGCAATGAACATTGCATGACATGCCTCTTAATCTCACACATTAATTAAGTGACTATGGCAGACAGCAATTATGCAATTCACAGATTTAGTATTCTGGCACAAAATTATGCTCTGTTAGACACTTATTCTCCTTTGAGAAACAGCTTCTGGTTTTCTTGAGACCTAATAGATACTCAACTTTTAGCCACGGCACACCATATTACAGTATAATCTGAGGTCCCCATTGTAAATGTAGTGTTGTCTCACCCAACCAGCAATTTGGGCAAGCATGCCATCATCAAGTGAAAGTGTTAGATACAAGATTGAGCTTGAGTAAGTTCCAAGTGAACAATAAAGTTACAGGAACAAATGGCTCAGGTATCCACGGTTCCTACCTACCACATTACCTCTTCTCTCTCAACCCATACTTATGCCTTCTTAGAGTTTCTTATAACAAATTAATAGAAGAAAACTCTGTCTTGGTTATGGATGGGTCTGCATGATATGCTGGCATGACCTTAAAGTGGAAGGCTATAGCCCCACAGTCCAACTCAAGGGTAGCTATGAAGGAGACTGCTTAAAAGAAAATCTGCCAGTCAGTAGAACTTCAATTAGTGTGCCTGGTTTGTTAATTATGCTAGAAAGCACAGATGTCAAGAGGTATGTATCTGCATTGACTAATGAGTAATGGTGGTTAGGTGGTCAGGAACTTGAAAGGGACTCAACTGGAAAATTTATGGCAAGAAATTCTGTGGGAAAACATATATGTAGATTTCTCTGATTGGTTAGAGAGTATGAGGATATTTATGTCCCATGTGAAGGCTCACCAAAAAGCACCATAGTGGCCAGGCACGGTGGTTTATGTCTGTAATCCTAGCATTTTGAGAGGCCGAGGTGAGCAAATCATGAGGTCAGGAAATTGACACCATCTTGGCCAACATGGTGAAGCCTTGTCTCTACTAAATATACAGAAATTAGCTGGGCATGGTAGTGCACACCTAGAGTCCCAGCTACAGAGGCTGAGGCAGGAGAATCACTTGAACCTGGGAGGCAGAGGTTGCAGTGAGCCGAGATCATGTCACTGCACTCCACCCTGGTGACAGAGAGAGACTCCATCTCAAAAAAAAAAAAGCACCATAGCAGAGGAAAGTCTTAATATTCAACTAAACACATTTGAGTATTAGACACACTTCTTCCCCAACCACCCTTGTTTTTGCCCGGTAGGATAATGAACAAAGTACCAGGTAACAAGGATGGAGTTTACACATCTCAGAAGCACAGACTTCCACTTATCAAAGCCAATTTGGCTATGGCTGCTGCCAAGTGTCTACCTGGACTGTTTTAAAGACCAACACTGAGAACCCCATATGCAGTAGCATTCTGTACCTGGTAGAGATTCCCACGCGACTTACCTAGTGGCAGGCTGGTTACATTTCATCACTTCCAGCATAGAAGGAACAGAGCTTGAGTAAGTTCTCCTGGAATAGATATTTACTCTTAATATAGATTTACCTTCCCTGCCTTAATGCTTTTGCCAAAACCACCACTGTGGACTTACAGAATGCTTGATTCACCATCTGGCTATTCCACCTGTCATTGTTTCTTAACAGGAAATTCATTTTTATAGCAACTAAATTGTGGAAATGGGCTCATGTTCATGGAATTTACAGGTCTCGCCATGTTGCCCATCACCCTGAAGGAGCTAGCCTGACAGAATAATGAATTGGCCACTTGGCATATTAGTTACAGCACCAAATGCATGATTACACCTTGCAGATTTGGAGGAATGCCCTCCAGGATGTGATATATCTGTTCTAAGTCATACATAACATTTCTACTTCTCGAATACCTAAGTTTCACAGGGCTGGGAATCAAAGTGGAAATAGAAGTAACTCTTTTTGCTATTAGTCTGATCCATTAAGTTTTGTCCTTCTCATTCTTGCAACTGACAGCTCTGTTTGGTTTAGAGATGATAGTTTCCCAAAGAATATGCTTCCACTAGGAAACACAACAATGGGTCTCTTAAATTGGCCATTTTAGCCTTCTGATGTCATGAAGCCAAGGGCAAAAAGGGTGTTAGTACATTGGGTCTGGTGATGGATTCTGATTATTAATAGGAAATTGCATTGCTTCTACCTAATGAAGGAATGAAGGAGAAAGTCTAAATGCTGGAAGTCATCCAGATTACTTCTAAGTGCTCCAATGTCCCATGATAAAAATTAATGAAAACCACAGCAACGCAATATAGTTAGGAATACTAATGTCACGGACTCTTTAAGATTGAAGTTTTGAGTCACTTTATAGACAAGGAACCATGACCAACCAAGAGGTACTTGCTAAGGTCAAAGGGAATAGGGAGTAGAAGAAGGAAGATTATCACTGCAGTAATAGGCTACGTAACAACGTTTTGGGATGTTTCACAATGGACCACACAGTGGTCCCACAAAAGGATAATGAAGCTGAGAAATTCCTTTTGTTTAGTGATATCCTAGCCATAATAAAATCACAGTGCAATGCATTACTCACATTTGTGATGAGGCTAGTGTAAATTAACCTACTGTGCTTCCAGTCATATAAAAGTCCAACACATATAATTATATATAGTGCATATTTGTTAATGACAATAAACAACTATGTTATTGGCCCATGTATTTACTACACCATACTTTTTATTTTCAGTGTGTACTCCTACTTGTAACACTCAAAAAAATGTTAACTGTAAAACATCCTCAGTCGGGTCGTTCTGGATGTATCCAGAAGAATGCATTGTTATCATAGGAGATGGCAGCTTCATGCACGGTATTGCCACTAAAGACCTTCTCGTGGGACAAGATGTGGAGGTGGAAAACTGATATCAATAATTCTGACCCTGTGTAGGCCTAGGCTAATATATGTGTTTGTGTCTTAGTTTTTAACATAAAAATTTAAAAGTAAAAAAATTAAAGAATAAAATTTTTTTAAAATAAGAAAAAGTTTATAGAATAAAAATGTAAAGTCAGAACATATCTTTATATATCTGTACAATATGTTTGTATTTTAAGCTAAGTGTTATTAAAAAAAGTCAAATTTTTTAATATTAAAAAGTTTATAAAGAAGTTGCAATAAGCTAAGGTTAATTTATTATTGAAGAAAATATTAAATATTTATTGTAGACTGAGTGTACAATGCTTATAAAGCCTACAGTAGTGTACAGTAATGTCCAAGGTCTTCATACTCACTCACCACTCACTCACTGAGTCACCCAGAGCAGCAGAGTATACCATATAGCCTAGGTGTGTAGTACACTGTACCATCTAAGTTTGTGTAAGTACACTCTGTGATGTTTGCATGACAAAATCACCCAGTGACACATTTCTCCGAACTTGTCCTTGTGACTATAAGCAGTGTGTTACTATACCATAAATGAGCACCGTAATAGTTATGAACATTTTTTTCTTACTTTGATAGGACAATTTTTGAATATGTAGTAACTTTTTGAATTTTTTTTCTTGCCTGTTCGTTCTCCTTTTATCCAGAGCTTACTGTTGTAATTCCTTTAATGTGAAATAAATTCCTTGGTCTAAAGCATTATTGTATGGGATATAGCAATTGTGAAAAAGGCATTCCTATAGTCAATGAATGATGATGATGGCAGCAGGATTGTGGACAGCAAAGGCAAGTCCACATCCAGAACAGGTTTTCATTCAAGTCCTTTCCGTGATAAAAGAAGGCTTACTGAAATAACCACACCGGGCAAACTGATTCCCCTGGGATTGCGGCTATATAGTGATTCATTGCTGGCTTTTGATTTAGGACAGGTTGGTCCCTAAACAAGAGCAGTAACCACATCAACAGTAGTAAAGGAAAATCTTCAATTTTGACCCTATGAATAACTTCAATTCCTGTCATCATGGTCACTGTGTACAAGAGACTGTTCATCAAGGGACCAGGGAGGAAGAGACACTGTCTCGAAAATTAGGATCATAAAATTAATTGAGCCACTTCCAGAAACACTGCCAAAATGAGAAAGAGAGAGAGAAACAGAAAAGAGAATTACTTCTCCCCTCTCTCTGCTTCTCATATCTGCTGTCTCTTAACAGAACCAAAGAATCATGGGAAATAGAGTTTGCAAATTCTCAGCCCCAGCATCACATAGCTGTTATTGAAGGGTATGTAGGAAGTAAAAAAGACAGTAGCATTACATAACACTGTAACCACTCCTCCCTACCTCCAAGAAATACAAAGCACAAAGAAATGAGCTGTGGCATAGGAGTTACGATATTATCACTCAACTAGAAATCATTTAATATTTTATATTTGGATCACCAAAAATTACCAGGTATTTATAGGTGGCCTCAATTTCATTACTATTTTTTACTCATTTAATCATATCATTTTTGTCCTTTAAAATTAATATTTGTGTAAGGTCTGATAGCGCCATGGATGGCATGGTGACCCCAGTGACTCACATGGACACCTCTGGAGGGCCTTCTGGAATTAGAAAAGCTGAAGTAGCTGGAAAACCATGAAAAATGGAAGGATGATCAACCTCTGCAGTGACTGACTAATCCAAGACATTCTTACGTTGTTTCTTATTCTGGCCTCGATTGACAAGGCCATTGAACTTTGTAACCGACCTTGGTCAACCTCCTGACTCCACACCCTATGACCCCATCCCTTGCCAAACGCCACCCTAAACTGTAACTCTTGTAACTTTCCACTGCCTTCCCCACAACCTATAAAACCAACTCCTATCCCACCTCCCTTCTCTGACTCTCTTTTCTGGCTCAGCCTGCCCATACCCAGGTGAATAAACACCCATCTTGCTCGCACAAAGCCTATTTTGGGGGTCTCTTCATTTAGAGCATTCATTTTAACAATTTGAAGATTCAAAATAAATTAGATCAAGAATTTTGTTTTCACACCAAAATTCAGTTTAAAGTCCAGGATCAATTGCCACCAAAGGACAATTCAGGTAGAATGGGCATCTAGAGAATCTCCTAAGAGAAGAAAGGGAAACACAGTTGGCAATCAGGTTGTCAGTCCACTTAATTGATTCAAGGTTACAAAAAAATCTCCAGAATACACAGTGGGGACATTTCAGCTCTAAAAACTATTTTTATTTTCAACGTCTGTGTCCACCTAAGTGATAGTGGATCTGGAGTGCTCTGAGGTACAGCTTGATTCAAGTTTAATTATTTCACACATGTTATAGCTGTGGTTTTGGCAGATGTGAACAGCACACCATTCCACTGACAACGAGATAATTCTTGTGAATTAATACTGATTATATACACACTGCAGTTTATCAAGCATAATGGGTCATCTTGCCCTAGTGAGTACAGTATGTGAAATTAAAGCTAATGGAGAATGATAGCAATGTCGTGTGTTTGGACAACGCAACACATTTCCAGACGTTCATGATTCTTCCACTGATTGTCTCTGACTATCTCTGTCAGCCTGGGCAAGTTATTTAAACTTTCAGAGTTTTGATAATTTATCTGTAAAGTGGGATAATTAAACAAACTTTAAAGATGTTCAGATGAAAGGAATGACATAAGTGGAAAGTAATCTACTTGTCTTTAGGAAACAAGTCCTAATCTCACGAAAGTGAGTAGTAGGAGATAAACAATGGTCAAAGAAAAAAGACACTTAGGCAGATCATTATAAGAAGCTAATTTACCAACTTATTCATTAAGACAGGTATTTACTCCATGTATTATCTCTTCTGTAAGATAGGAGACACTATGTTTGCAATTCTTTAATGATCATAGTATCTCAAAAAACCTGTTCACCATATGATTTATATTTCCCATGAGAATTTTAAAAGCACTGCTCAATAATATTTTTTAAATGCTTAAAATACTCTCCACAAAACAAACATAAATTATGTTGTTTCAATATTTTGTTGCTTTAAGATTAATTATAACTAAAAATAAACCTGTGTTTAAGTTTCATGTTATAATAGATTGGCTTCTGAATGTATCAAATCGAAGTACGGCAGTGTTATTCTACACATGATTTAGATGCTTGCTATTGGCAATAGTGCCAATGAGATTATAATCCCAAAGTTATAGAACCTGAGTAAATTTTGATTGCTTTAAGGTATTCTTTGCAATTAACTTTCAAGGTTTATTTTTTTCATGCTGTAACATAAAATTGGGTACTAATTTTAGAATTGATTGGAACAACTTATGAGTTAAGTGGTTGGTGATTTAAATGTACAAATACAATAAAATGAAGGTTATGTCTATAATTTTGAGGAATGTATTTAAGATTTGGGCTACATTTAAGGCTATGTCTTCATCAATACTGTTTGCCAACTAACCAAATATAACATATACAGGGAGGAAAAAAAGAACAAAGGAGAAAATGTCTTCAGGAAAAAAGTAAGTTTTTTTCTGTACTTCTAAACCGCAAAAGCTCTGATTTAATTTTCCCAGCTTCAAAACTGTAAATACATTCTCAGAGTTCTGACTTCTATGTAAAATGTTTATGTATAAACATTGCATTTATAAACAGTGCAATGTTGGGAGAGAGATCCAATTTGGCTGATCGTTAGCAGTTTGGGATTGTGGCTCCCAGTGAAAGCGCAGAAAAAGAGAGGACGCCACACTTTTAGACGAATTTTTGTTGCTCATGGACCAGGAGATTCCCAGCAGAGAAGCCCCACGGGTCGCCACCGCAACTCTTGTGACCAGCGCGGTGCTTTTGACGGCACCTTTGCACAGCGGTTCTTGGTGAAGAGTAAACGGGACTGGTTTCCCTTTTGGCAACGTTTGAAGCTCTGGGAAGGCAGAGTTGCCTATTCAGCTGATTGAAGGACAGGCTCAAGAAGGAAACCAGACCAGAGATTCCCGGGCAGAAAAGCACCATCAATCTTAACTCCGCTGTTTTAGCCAGCACAGTGGGTTGCTCAGATTCTGGCACTGGGAATCAACAAATTGGACATCCACTCAGAAACCTAATTAAAAAGGTGGTAATTACAAAGTGACAGATGGATAAATTTATAACAAAGGGAAGAAACCAGCCTAAAAAGGCTAAGAATACTCAAAATCAGAACGCCTCTCCCTCTACAGGGGATCACAGTTCCTCATCAGCAATAGAACAAGGCCTGATGGAGAACAACTGTGTTCCATTAACAGAAATAGGCTTCAAAAGGTGCATGATAAGAAACTTCTGGGAGTTAAAAGAACTTGTTCTAACCCAATGCAAAGAAACTAAGAACTTTGAAAAAAGGTTTGATGAAATGCTATCAAGAATAGACAATATGGAGAGGAATATAAGTGAATTAATGGAGTTGAAAAACAAAACACGAGAACTTCACGAAGTATGCACAAGTTTTAACAGCTGAATTGATCAAGCAGAAGAAAGGATATCAGAGGTTGAAAACCAACTTAATGAAATAAAATGAGAAGACAAGAATAGAGCAAAAAGGATAAAAAGGAGTGAGCAATGTCTCCAAGAAATATGGGACTATGTGTAAGACCTAATCTACATTTGATAGGTGTACCTGAATGTGACAAAGAGAATGAATCCAAGCTGGAAAATACTTTTCAGGATAATATTCAGGAAAACTTTCCCAACCTAGCAAGGCAGGACAATTCTCAATTCCAGGTAATACAGAGAACACCACAAAGATATTCCTCAAGAAGAGCAACCCCAAGGCACATAATTGTTAGATTCACCAGGGTTGAAATGAAGGAGAAAATACTAAGGGCAGCCAGAGAGAAAGGTCAGGTCACCCACAAAGGGAAGCCTATCAGACTCACAGCAGATCTCTCAGCAGAAACCCTACAAGCCAGAAGAGAGTGGGGGTCAATATTTAACATCCTTAAAGAACAGAACTTTCAACCCAGAATTTCATATCCAGCCAAACTAAATTTCACAAGTGAAGGAAAAATAAAATCTTTTGTGAACAAGCAAGTACTCAGAGATTTCATCACCACCAGGCCTGCTTTACAAGAGCTTCTGAAAGAAGCGTTACACATAGAAAGGAACAACCAGTATTAGCCTTTCTAAAAATATACCAAAAAGTATAGAGCATCAACATAATGAAGAATTTACATCAACTAATGGGTAAAATAGCCAGCTAACATCAATTGGCAGTAATCCTAAATTAGAATTGACTAAATCCACCAACCAAAAGATAGAGCCAAAACCCATCAGTATGTTGCATCCAGACCCATCTTACCTGCAAGGATATATAAAGACTCAAAACAAAGGGATGAGGAAAGATTTGCCAACCAAATGGAGAACAGAAATAAATAAATAAATAAATAAATAAATAAATAAAATGCAGAGGTTGTAATTCTCGCCTCTGATGGAATGGATTTTAAAGCAACAAAGATCAAAAGAGGACATAATGGTAAAAGGATTAACGCAACAAGAAGAGCTGACAATCCTGGATGTGTACACACCCAATACAGGATACATAAGACTTGTAAAGAGACTTGGACTCCCGCACAGTAGTAGTGGGAGATTTCAACATCAATATTAGATAGATAAACGAGATAGAAAATTAATAAGGATATCCAGGACTTGAACTCAGATCCAGAACAAGTAAACTTAATAAACATTTATAGAACTCTCCACTTTAAATACATAGAATATACACTCTTATCAGTACCACATCACACCTACTCACCGGTTTAAAGGAAATATTGGTTGGCCATTATTAAGCACAATTGATGGTGTAAGGGAGGTTTTCAATGAGCATTTTTAGACTGCATTCTAACCTGGGCAATTAAGCAACACTCCTATTCTCTCTCCCTCTTCCTCTTCCTCTGTTTTCCTTTTCTTCATTCCTTTTTTTTCTTTCTTTCTTTCTTTTTCCTAAAACAAAACAAAACAAAACAAAATACATGGTGTGTATTCCTACAAGTCTTAAATGAAAAACCTTTCTCAAAAATATACCCTTGGCTCAATAACTCTCTTCTTTTGATTCTACCTATCTTGACATATTTTTCTTTCTTTCGAGAAAAAAAAAACTGCATTTTCATAGTCATCAATTTCCTTTCAACAGACTAACCGCAATAAGGTTTGCATGTAATTGACAATGAGATTTTTTTACATACTATCCATCTTCAAGCCACCAAGAGGTATTGACATGAAAACATGAGGTGTGAAAAGTAGCATCCTGGGAGTGGTTTTCTGGGGCCAGTTCTTCAGCTTCCTGCTCCAGTGAAAGGAATTATACAGTTAATGCAGTCTTAGATGTTTAAAATAAAGGAATAAGCTCCAATTATCCAGGCAATTATTCACATAATCAACTATATTACCCAAAGTGATCAGTTTACCAATAGGTTCTCTTTGTCATGCCAGAGAAAAACCTTATTTCCAGATGAATGTGGGCACAATTTTAAAATGTTATGGGGTAATGCGAAAAGGAACAATAAGTTAGACAAAATTAAAAACTTCTTCTGGATTATCTGGCCATTATTCTGCCTCATATAGGTACATTGAACTTCACTAGTATTATAAAAGAACGTGATACATGACCTTTTCCCTGTGGCTAGGGAGAAGGGGGAATATTCAAAATCACAAGGTTCAAGAAATATAGCTAACTTCAGAATGAACTGAGTGAACAAAGACCTATGAATTCGGTGTTGTGAAAGAAGTCAAAAGTAAGGATTTAAGGACAAAGAAAATTCTTGCTAAGTTATGAGGCAGCCCAGGACAATTAAATTTTAAGAAGATCTAAATAGTTGGCTGGAGATACATGAACAGGTCTAACTACCTGGGAAGGAGAATGGCAAGGATTTAGCAAGTTGTCTGGGTGGGCCTCTCAGCAAAACAGGATGAAAATAGCAACAGAACATGGACATAATGGGGTG